ACACAAAGTGATAAAGCCATCATGTCCACTTGGGAACAATGCTAGTGAACTGGACTGCTTTGAGTTATTCTTCGATGAACCCCTGATGGACATCATTGTCAGGGAAACAAACACATACTATGATTACACCATGGCAAATACAATTCTTCACCAAAATCACGGCTACACCAGTGGAAGGAGACAACTGTGGCAGAGATGTACCTGTTTTTTGCCACAATAATGCTTATGCCACATGTGTATTTAAACACTCGTCACCACATACTGGGCAACAGAAGCCTGATTTCAACTCCGGTTTTAGTGACATTATAGGTGTCAATCGTTTCCTGATACTGTTAATATGTTACACTTTTCAGACAAAACCAAAGGGCCCGACAGAACCGACAGGTTATATAAAATCAGAAAAGTGTTTATGTACCTGGGAAAAAAAAGTGCTGCATGTATTTTTTATCCTTCAGGAAGCTTGTTATTGATGAGTCCTTGGTTTTATTCCAAAGGAAGGGCTCTCATTCAAGCAAAATTTTACCAAGCAAGAGGGAAAAAGCTTTTGGGATAAAGTTATTTGTTTCTGTGTGATTGCAGAAGTGGTTAGTTTTGGATTCATTGTGTACACTGGCAGTAATACTTTGAGAGATACCATGACATTATTGGGTATCTCTGGTGTGTGGTTCGAACAATGATGGAACCATATCTTGGGAAGGGGCATATGTTTATTTACTGATAACTGGTACACAAGCCCCTTACTCAGTGATTTCTTGCGGTGAACTTGACAGAGTGTGTGGCACGTGCGTGGTAAAAGTAAAAAAATGCCCAAGGTTCGACCTGGCACTCGCAGAGGTGAGGTTTTCAAGTTTTTCTGCCAATGAATCATGGCTTTTTTTGGTGGCATGAAAAGTGATGTCACATTGTTGCATAGTTCACCCAAAAAGAAAAGGCACCAGTGGCAGGACAAAAAGGGCCCAAGAACCCCTTTTTAAGCCCGGCTGTCAGGACTACAACCCAATATGCGTTAGTGGACAAATGTGACATGCAGATTGGGTTTTAGATTTTTGTCCAAAAGTTTTGAGTGGTATATAAAAATTTTTTTCCATCTTGTTGATATCTCTTGCTAAATGCTTATAAAAATACAGTTTAAGCCAACAAAACACCAAAATATGGTGAATTTTTTTTGTCCGTAATCAGACAAATTAAAAGCAAATACAAGGAGCAACACCGCAAGGGGCCGGCCCCCCGAAATTACCAACCCACGCCATTCGTTTTGGCCCGGTGATCATACCCCCTAAAAATGCCCCATTGCCAAAAAAATGTCAGAAGAGGTGTTAAATTTTTGTACCATACCAAAAAAAAGCCCACAAACACGCAGAGAACTGTTTTTTTGAGGGGTGTTATACCATGCTTCAAAAAGTTCCACAAGCTGCAGCAGTTCTAGGAAAGTGTTCAGTGACTGTACATATGTATATATATTATGGAACAATAGTAATAAACATTGTTTTGTATTGTTTGTTTGTGTAAACAAAGTGTATACACAAACTAATAGTGATAAAGTTTGTTCTGTTATTGTGTTGTAAACAATGAGTGTATATTTGAACAATGCACCTAATTGGTCCACAGGCACATGTGTATATTTGACAATGCCCTACATTGGTCTCACAGCCACATAAGTTACTTGGAAAAGAAAAATATTGAAAAATGCAAGAAACTTTTGAATTAGAGTAAATAAAAGAATACCGGGTGGGCGGCAGTCGCCGCTGTTGCCGTACGCACGTCACTTTCTGCAAACTTTGTGGCTCTATATCTCGGTAAGTACTGATGGCAAAAAATTTTTTTAGGCTTAAAACACTCAGAAAAATATTCCTAACATTTTCATAAGAAAAAATAATTTTTTTTTCCGAATATTTTGTGACATAGAATGACAGTTTCAGAAAGGGGCCTGCGACAGTCAAAGAGTTAAACAAATATGTGAAGAACAAACACTGAAAATAATTACAATATGCAAATTATTTACAATTAATACTTTATTCTAGGTACTTAAAAATAATAATTACCTCATATAAATGCTGAGATGAATATTAACCCTTTGAGGGTCCGTGCCGTAGATCTACGGCTTTACGTTGAGGGTCCAAACCGTAGATCTACGTCATGAGGTCAGCTCACTCTGATAAGCTGTGAGCGGTAAATTTGGGCCTAGATTTGAGAGAATATATCTATGTGGTATGTGTGCACCACATCAAATAAATCCTGCAGCACACAGTGTATAACGAGAGAAAAAAAACTGAGACCGTAATTTTCGATTAAAACAGCGACTTTGCAGTGTTTTTCATATGTTTTTTATAGTTGTATTTGCAATTTCTTGGTCTCATTTGATAGAATGGAAGATATATTACAGAAATAGAGATGATTTTGATTGGTTTTAGTACTGAAAATGGCTTGAAACTGAGCTCAAAGTAGCAGAAATGTTAAATTTTTGCTGATGTTCAAGAGTAAACAAATGACCTCACACGTCTAATACACGCCAGCTGGTGGGTCTAATATATTTTCACAAATGTGGTAATATTATTTATACAATTATTACAATATTGAATAACAGTAAATCTTCTATTTTTTTGGTTTGAATAAAACTCATTATGTGAATAAAAAATAAAAATGGAATTCATTAGTAAAGCCTGAAAACGTAACTAATGAACAGAGGAAATGTTAGTTTAGTCCCAGGAATGTCTGCATTGTTTATTCTGGACCCTATTTGGAAATTGGAGTATTTTGAACTTTGCATTAAATTGGCCAAATTACCAACTTCCGATCAATTTATTTTGTAGTTGAAACAGTTGACTTGGCGAATTCTTGTGCTCAATCAATAGAATAGAAGTAATACTAGTGAAATAGCTAAGAATTTGGTTGACTGGAATAATGTAATTGGCCTAAAATGGTAGTCAAAGTAGGCAAAATCGCCGATGCGTAAATATCGCTGACACATCAAAATTCGCGAGAGCATAATTTTGTGAATTTTCCATCAAATTTTGTACTTTTTTGTTTTATTACCTTCAGAAAAAAAATTCTCTACCATTTCATAAGAAAAAAATAACAAAATTATTTTTTGAAAATTCCTTGGACACTGGTGCACACTGAAATTTGGCCTCTGGACCCTGAAAGTGTTAAATAAATATGTGAAGAAAAGCAAACATAAAAATAAAAGAAAATGGAGAAGGGGAGAATCCTTTTAGTATATTTGTTGTATGTGGTTCAGGGGATCATGACCCTTCTGGCCTGGAGTCAGATCAGGCCTTTAAAATTAGAAAGGAAAAGTTACAGCAATGAGAACTACTGTATAAAGAAACACACAAGAAATCAGAGACGAGAGTACATGAAGGCCCCATTTGTACAGCTCTTAGGGTTCCAACCCCGTACGGTAAGTGAAAATTGCCAGCGGGTGGAAAAGAGTGCTTTTTCATTGTCGAATGTATCTAAAACGCCTGATAACATGTTTACTCCATAAGTGATCAATACAGCCAGGTACAAAAAAAAAAAAATGAAATATATACAGTACATACAATACTTACCTTAAAGTATGGTGTCAGTCACCCTTCCCTTATACCACTGTTGTGAGAAAATGGCAAAAAAGTGGTAAAAGGACTGAACATAACAATCAATAGCTCAATTGAAAGCTAATGACAATGCGAAACACTGAAAACAGGTGCTGTATATGCTGGTTCCTCTTGTACAGTGGACCCCCGGTATTCGATGGCATCGGTATTTGATAAATCCAGTTTTCGATGCATTTTAACGCAAAAATTTTTCCTCGGTATTCGATTGAAAACCCAGTATTCGATACGATTGTACGAGACCTGTCCACGTGTGGCCTGAACTGCTCCGTGTGTGCTAGTGTTTACAAGCCAGCCAGTGTGCGCGCATCTAAGGATACATTCGGTACATTCCATATTATCCATATTATCACTGTGTTTGGTGCTTGTTTCTGCAAAATAAGTCACCATGGGCCCCAAGAAAGCTTCTAGTGCCAACCCTTTGAGAAAAAAGTCGCTAATGACTTATGAAATGAAGAAAGAGATAATTGCAAAGTACGAAAGTGGAGTGCGTGTGTCGGAGCTGGTCAGGTTGTATAATAAACCCCAATCAACCATCTCTACTATAGTGACCAGGAAAACGGCAATCAAGGAAGCTGTTCTTGCAAAAGGTGCAACTGTGATTACGAAACAGCGACCACAAGTGTTAGAAAATGTTGAGAGATTGTTACTGGTGTGGATAAATGAAAAACAGATAGCAGGAGATAGCATCTCTCAAGCGATCATTTGTGAAAAGGCTAGGCAGTTGCATGATGATTTGGTAAAGAAATTGCCTGCAACTAGTGGTGATGTGAGTGAATTTAAGGCCAGCAAAGGTTGGTTTGAAAGATTTAAGAATCGTAGTGGCATACATAGTGTGATCAGGCATGGTGAGGCTGCTAGTTATGTTGTGCGACAGAAGTCCAGTGACTCTCAAGCTGGTCCTAGTGGCATTAAAAGAAAAATGGAAGTAACCCCAGAAAAGGACTTGCTACCTCAAGTCCTAATGGAAGGGGATTCCCCTTCGAAACACTAACACCTCTCCCCTCCTCCCATCCCAATCATCACCAGATCTTCATTAAAGGTAAGTGTCAATTATTTTATTGTTATTGTAATTATTCTATTACATTAAACTTAATATTTCATGTAGTAAAAATTTTTTTTTTTCGTACTTTTGGGTGTCTTGCACGGATTAATTTGATTTCCATTATTTCTTATGAGGAAAATTGATTCGGTTTTCGATATTATCGGTATTCGATGAGCTCTCAGGAACAGATTAATATAGAGTACCAGGGGTCCACTGTATACTGAATGTAAGTAGAAGTTTCCTCTCTGCCACCTTGCTACCAGTATCAGTCAACCAAGATAGTATTTACCAAGCAATACCTCATGTAACACAAATTTAACTATATTGCTATAAAAATTTGATACTTTTGCTGAGATACTCACTCCATGGCAACTAGAGTCAGGATGGCGAGGATCCTCATCATCTGAGTCACCAGCTTCACGGAGACTCTGGAGTAGACCATCCTCCTCCAAAACAGGTTGCAGCCACCTGTTAAATTTGACAAGCCAATGGAGATTAAATTATGCAATGGAAAAAGAGTAAGTCAAGACTGAACCTTTGGAACACAATTATTTTCTTTTAACACATCAACATCTCTCACTGAGGCAAGGTTCCTAAAAAAGAGGAAAACATGTTCATCATCATTCATTCAATCACTGTCCTGCCAGAAGCATACTGACATCATGGTTCACATGGCCCTCCGAACTGTAACATCCTCACCCTTTCTTCAGGGTGTAGGCACTACACTTCCCACCTCCAGAACTCAAGTTCTAGAATCTAGATAATTAGTATCATCTAAATCTCTTCATGTTGCCTTGTTCGTATTCCAACAGCACATCTGTAGGGTCAAACCAACAGAGGAGCACACTAAATCAGCCACTACTGACCACAGGATAGTTAAGAAACACAAATAACCCGCACATAGGAGAGAAGAGCTTACAACAACATTTCGGTCCGACTTGGACCATTTACAAAGTCCCACTAATGAAAAGGAGAGAGGGAGGGGTATATATAGCCATGAGGTGGTAGTAGAAGTGGTGGAGGTAGAAGCTAGTAGTAATGGTGGGGGAGGTAGTAAGGAAGAGGAGAAGCCTGTCAAATACTAAGAGGAGCACTGCAAGGGAGCAAGGTGCCCACAGAGGGTAAGAGCAAGAACACAGAGGATGGGGGGAATAAATAAAGAAGGAAATACACAAGGCAGAAGAAAGACAACCCAAAAGAGAAAAAGGAAAGAGGAAAGGGGAAGAGGGAGAAGAAGCAAAGGAGGAATCAGGTTAAGTCACGGGTGTTCTGGAGTTTGGAGCATTTTACAATGTAGTGTATTTGTGTATTGCTCCAGTCATGGTATTGTGCCTTTTTTGTTATTTAGTTAAGAAAGACACAATAAACTAGCCACTATTGACCCCAGGATAGTTACGAAGTGCACAATCAACTAGCCACTACTGTCCACAGAATAATATGAAGTTCACAACATACTAGCAACTACTAATCACAGGATAATTATAAAGTTTACAATAAACTAGCAACTATTAATCACAGGATAATTATGAAGTGCACAGTACACTAGCAACTATTAACCATAAGATAATTATGAAGTTCACAATAAACTAGCAATCACTAACCACAGGATAGTTTTATGTTAGGTCATAAGAGGTGTACCACCTACTAGTTATCATCAGTAACGTAAGATCACCCTCAGGAGAGTTATCATTTATCTTACTGCAAATATTAATATCACTGCAAAGATCAGTTATCAGTTATATTACTGCAAAGATAATTCCAGAAATACTTGTGCAAACTCAGTGTGAATGTCTTACAACACTTGCAGGTACTGATGCATGGTGGTCATTGATACACCTCAGTGAAGGTAATTGTAAATTTCATTGAAAAAAACATTATGGAGTATTTGTTTAATGACCAAATTTTGACATGTTTTTTTTTTACCCCTCTCTTAATGGTAAATTTTTTGGGTTGACACACACTGTTTGTGGTGTTTTTCTGGTTAATTGCTGTGTGTCAAGTTTTGTTCATATATTTTGGTTCACAATAAATTTTTATTCACGATATTTTTATATATTTTATTTATGATATTTTTTTTATATACAGCAGATCATTATATTACAAGTTAGTTATATTCCTGAAAATGCCATATTAGATAAATCAGTGTTAGATAAACTGAAGAATTCATGGGAAAAATAGGGTCACACTCCAGGAAGCCCCAAAAAAGCCAAACAACTTTTTTTTAGATCTCCAGATTTTACAAAAATAAAAATAATTATGTAACTGTTGTTCACTGTCGTGACATATTATGTTTTTTTTCTGTTGCTTAAGGCTACAAATGTAACAGAAATAATAGTATTTCTTACCTTAAATTGTGGGTGCTGGTGTTTGTGGATGATTGTGAAGAGAGTGGAGAGTTATACTGTGGCCCTACTGGGCTGAGGTGGATGGTAGAGGTTCTGGTACTGAAGTCAATGGTTGTACTGGAGTGTGCATAAATTCTGTAATGGATCTCTGGGCTATTTTACCGTGCAGTACATTATACAGCTGAAAATAAGGCATCAGCTGCACCAGACCCCGTTTCAGAGCAGTGCGTCCAGAATTGCCAGGGTCATCTTCAGTGAAAAACTCTAAGTCAGTCCAGTTAGTAAGTAAAGTCAGTAATTAAAAGTAAAGTCAGTAAGTCAGTCAAGTAAGTTAACCCTTTCAGGGTCTGTGCCGTAGATCTACGGCTTTACGTTGAGGGTCCAAACCGTAGATCTATGCCATGAGCTCAGCTCACTCTGATAAGCTGTGAGCAGTAAATCTGGGCCTAGATATGAGAGAATACATCTGTGTGGTATGTGTGCACCACATAAAACAAATCCTGCAGCACACAGTGCATAATGAGAGAGAAAAAACTGAGACCGTAATTTTCGATTAAAACAGCAACTTTGCAGTGTTTTTTCGTATGTTTTTATAGCTGTATTTGCGATTTCTTGGTCTCATTTGATAGAATGGAAGATATATTACAGAAATAGAGATGATTTTGATTGGTTTTAGTCCTGGAAATGGCTTGAAACTGAGCTCAAAGTAGCAGAAATGTTAAATTTTTGCTGATGTTCAAGAGTAAATAAATAACCTCACACGTCTAATACACGCCAGCTGGTGGGTCTAATATATATTCACAAATGTGGTAATATTATTTATACAATTATTACAATATTGCATAACAGTAAATTTTCTATTTTTTTGGTTTGAATAAAAATTCATTATGTGAATAAAAAATCAAAATGGAATTCATTTAAAAAACCTGAAAATGTAACTAATGAACAGAGGAAATGTTAGTTTAGTGCCAGGAATGCCTGCATTGTTTATTCTGGACCCTATTTTGAAATTAAAATATTTTGAACTTTGCATTAAATTGGCCAAATTACCAATTTCCGATCACTTTATTTTGTAGTTGAAACAGTTGACCTGGCGATTTCTTATGCTCAATCGATAGAACAGAAGTAATACTAGTGAAATAGGTACTCAGACAAATAGAGAAACTAAAACCTAACAAATCCCCAGGTCCTGATGAACTGTTTGCAAGGGTGTTAAAGGAATGTAAAGAGGAACTTAGCATACCTTTGGCTAATCTTTGTAACATATCACTACAAACTGGCATAGTGCCTGATAAGTGGAAAATGGCAAATGTAATGCCTATTTACAAGGCAGGTGACAGGTCCTTGGCTTCGAACTATAGACCAATAAGCCTTACCTCCATAGTGGGAAAATTTATGGAATCAATAATTGCCGAAGCAATTCGTAGCTATCTTGACAGGCACAGATTGATTAATGATTCTCAACACGGTTTTACAAAGGGGCGTTCCTGTCTTACGAATTTACTAACTATTTTCACTAAGGTGTTTGAGGAGGTAGATCATGGTAATGAATATGATATTGTGTATATGGACTTCAGTAAGGCTTTCGATAGAGTTCCACACCAGAGGCTATTGAGGAAACTTAGGGCACACGGAATAGGAGGAGAAATTTTTTCCTGGGTAGAGGCATGGCTGACAAATAGACAGCAGAGAGTTTGCATAAATGGGGAGAAATCAGAATGGGGGCACGTCACAAGCGGTGTTCCTCAGGGGTCAGTGTTGGGCCCGCTGTTGTTCACAATTTACATAAACGACATAGATGAGGGAATAAATAGCGACATAAGCAAATTTGCTGATGACACCAAAATAGGCAGTCCAATTCATTCTAATGAGGACATTAGAGCACTTCAGGATGATTTGAATAGACTGACGCAATGGTCGTTGAAGTGGCAGATGCAGTTTAATATTGACAAATGCAAAGTTCTAAATGTTGGACAGTTAAATAACCATGCCACATATAAACTAAATAATGTAGATCTTAATACATGAAGGTAATAAAACAAAAAGTACGAAATTTGATGGAAAATTGACGATATTATGCTCTCACGAATTTTTATGTGTCAGCGATATTTACGAATCGGCGATTTTGCCGACTTTGACTCCCATTTTAGGCCAATTACATTATTCCAATCAACCAAATTCTTAGCTATTTCACTAGTATTACTTCTATTCTATCGATTGAGCACAAGAAATCGCCAAATCAACTGTTCAACTACAAAATAAAGTGATCGGAAATTGTTAATTTGGCCAATTTAACACAAAGTTCAAAATATTCCAATTTCAAAATAGGCTCCAGAATAAACAATGTAGGTATTCCTGGAACTAAACTAACATTTCCTCTGTTCATTAGTTACATTTTGAGGCTTTACAAATAAATTCCATTTTGATTTTTTATTCACATAATGAATTTTTATTCACACCAAAAAATAGAAGATTTACTGTTATGCAATACTGTAATAATTGTATAAATATCATCACCATATTTGTGAATGTATATTAGACCCACCAGCTGACGTGTATTAGATGTGTGAGGTCGTTTGTTTACTCTTGAATATCGGCAAAAATTTAACATTTCCGCTACTTTGAGCTCAGTTTCAAGCCATTTCCAGTGCTAAAACCAATCAAAATCATCTCTATTTCTGTAATATGTCTTCCATTCTATCAAATGAGACCAAGAAATCGCAAATACAACTATAAAAAACATACGAAAAAACACTGCAAAGTCGCTGTTTTAATCGAAAAATCATGATTTCAGTTTTTTTCTCTCATTATACACAGTGTGCTGCAGGATCTGTTTTATGTGGTGCACACATACCACATAGATGTATTCTCTCATATCTAGGCCCAAATGTACCACTCACAGTTTATCAGAGTGAGCTGAGCTCATGGCGTAGATCTACGGTTTGGACACTCACCGTAAAGCCGTAGATCTACGGGACGGACCCTGAAAGGGTTAAATTGAATTTTGTGCAGAGATTTAAAAGCTCGTGTGAGTGTGAGTTTTCATCAGAGCTGCCTCCTGGTGATATTACTGCAACAATATTATTTGCTATATTCCTCAATTTTAGGTGCCTTAAGTTGAAATCCCACAGGAGCAAGATGTTGGGTGCAGGAGCTGGAAGATTTTCCAGACAGTAGTCAATTTTTAACAGCTGTTCCTGGAATTGCTGGGATGTTGCATCCGGAGGCTTGTAGACTACCACAATGACAAGATTTTGGTTCTCGACCTTTAATGCTAAAACTTCCACTACATCATTTGAGGCATTAAGCAGTTCTGTGCAAACAAGTGACTCTGCAATGTACAGGTCAACCCCCCCTTCCTTTTGCCTGTTCACTCTGTCACATCTGTATAGGTTGTAACCTGGGATCCATATTTCGTTGTCCAAGTGATCCTTTATGTGGGTCTCAGTGAAAGCCACGAACATTGCCTTTGCCTCTGCAAGCAGTCCACGGATGAAAGGTATTTTGTTGTTTGTTGCTGGCTTTAGACCCTGTATATTTGCAAAGAAGAATGTCATCGGACTGGTGGTACTGTTGGTACTGGGGGGGGGGATTTTTTTTTCCGGCATTAGTATCTGTATCTGTTGGTTTGGAGTGGAGGCCATCGACTGTGGTTCCACTCCAGGAATGACTGGATTTGGTGTACGATTTCTGCCATTTCCTGCCAGTTTTTTTTCCTTCCTGTTGTCATTGATTAAATACCACTTGTTCATGGTTACAATATGTTAAATATATATGTATGTGCGTGAGTGTGTTGGTGTGTATGTGTATGTCCAATCAAATTAATGTCTGCATAAATAGCTCATTAAGACCGTAACCAGATCTAAACATATAAATAGTTCATTACCAGTGTAACTTGTTCAGCTATCAAAACTTTGTGACCCGGTTCCTAGACCTATTATGTACCTCCATAATGTTGAGGTACAGTCCCTGGACCCATTATGTGCTTCTGTAATCTTTTGACTACCAATCACACCATGGGTATATGTGCATAATAAAAATGTTAAACTAAACTGTTAGTGCTACTGGTCTGTAATTTTGTTACTGCTCTACTGCCTGTTTTATGCCCAGGAGCTGCAGCTGGCAGATAATGTCTGCACCTTCTAGGGCTTGTTATATTTCTTCTAGACATAAGCTCTTTCTCCATATAACACTGAGTGCTCATACTAGTGACATTTTGCACTTCTTCATAAAAAAGAGACTCATGAATTCTGCCCAGGTGTGCATAATTGACATTTGTTTCCTATGCAATTTCCACTTAAATTTCATTTAGTATTACTGGACATAGATTCACACTGATAAGAACATAAGAAAGGAGGAACACTGCAGCAGGCCTGTTGGCCCATACTAGGCAGGTTCTAGTTTGCTTCTAAGATTTCGCTTATTTTATTCTCGTCTGTGTATGAATTTCCATTATTGGAAATCTGAAGCAGATCAGATCATGTGTTCTCAAGTTATAAACGAAAACCTTGATGAAAGAAAAGAAAATCACTTAAAGATACCTGTTCATGGATAGTTAACTAGCCATTACCATCGAAGTGATGGATGTGAGGGCATGATTCTCATTAACAAATTTGAGAGCTTTAACTCTTTCCCAAAGAAAGTAAGAAATTAAGAAATGTGTATCTCTCAGTGAATTTTTGGACCTGGAAGAAGGTGCTTCCTAATCATTCTCAATTACTCGCAAATAGGAATGGCGACTTTTCCAACTCGCTTTCAAAAACTCATAAAAATTAAGAAAGTTGGGCAAAATTCATAAGAGATTTTAAAAAGGTCTTAGAAATGGCCAATCTATAACATAGTAGAAGCACATCCAACTCAATCCAATATTTTGATAATGGAATGCATTGTTTTGTGACTCAAAATCATAACGACATGAATGCAAACAAATCATAGAATGGGTGGGGTTCAAACCCCATCCATTCGATTATTTGTTCTTCTTCTTTCAACACACTGGCTGTATCCCACCGTGGCAGGGTGGCCCAAAAAGAAAAACAAAAGTTTCTCTTTATAACTTTAGTAACGTATTCAGAAGAAGGGGTTACTAGCCCCTTGCTCCCGGCATTTTAGTCACCTCTTACAACATGCATGGCTGATGGAGGAAGAATTCTGTTCCACTTCCCCATGGAGATGTAATAACAGATATGTAGGCAAGAAAAAATTACAAGAGAAACAGAAGCTGTCTGTCTTGACCCAAACAAAATTTGATAATGATGGTGAAAGTGTGCTTCTTTTTCAGATCACCTCATGTTAGTGGGAAACAGCCAGTATTAAAAGAGATACAGGGTAATTACAGTATGTACAGATTGGCATAGCTCCAAAAACACAACTCCAGGGAGATATCTGTTATCTATCACCAACAGTGGTATCATAATGCATAGAAAGGTAATATAATTGCACCTTATAAAACACTGTCACAGACAAATTTAACCTACCGGTTATCTTCATAGAGATGAGCATCAGCAAGATTTATGTGGTTAGCTATAACTCGGTGTTCCTCCAGTGAGTATGTCCTGATGAACTTCTTCCCACACACGTAACACTCGCTCTTAGCTGTCTGATGAGAAAGAATGCACATTTCTTACCATAAGATTCCCAAACACTGTAAGAGACAAGGTAGTCCATTTTGAATGCAACACACTTAGTTGTCTGATGAGAAAGAATACAACATTCTTCATTATATCAGTTTAAAGCATACTTAAAACTGTATAATGATCATTTACCTACCTCATTTTTGTACATTAAAAAAACTGTCTGGTCTTAAGTAGTCTGTAAGCATTGGGATTAGTCTGCCTGAAATGCACATGCATACTAGTGGCTTTCTTTTGTGCTTAACAATATTATATTACATGTAAACTACATTTTGTAATACTGCAGAAATAAATAAAGTTTGTTTTATAAGATTCGTAAACTTCGTAATAGAAAAGGTAGCCTATTTTGAATACAGAATGATTTTGAAATAAATTAGGCTTAATATATTGTCCTAGGAATATTTAATTTTGTAGAAATGCAAAGTTATTTTTTTTACCAAAATTACCAGACCATATTTAATGTATGCAAGCTTCTGAGAGGCACATATGGTGTGTAAGAATAATTTAGCAAACTAAATGAAGATGTCACAAAGGATGGCTAAGTTTACAACAGGGAGGTTCAAAGCTTGTGGTTTACAACATAAGGTTCAAAACTTACGGTTTACAACTTATGGTTCAAAACTTGCAAACAGTTTGCAGTCATCACGTTTCATTTTACAAACTATTTGTTTACTGAGAAACAACAGTAGAAGAAATGATTAAGCTTCACATACATTTGTACTGCAGATCAGTGGTTGAAAATTTTAATTACTTTCCCATGTAAGGAATAAACAATGTAAATCTATCTGTAGCCTCTTAAAAAATTATTATTATTATTCCAGTAGACTGTCAATTAATATGCAATCTGGTTGAAAACTTGCAACATATTTTTTATAAGTGTACTGCATATTTATAATTTAGCATAGAATAAATTTACTAGAAACTGTGATATACAGCAGGTTCTTTTCCCCTCTATCTTGCAGTGAACCTATAGGAGAGGCCACTATTTTACAGGGAAGGCATAGCCCCAGTCTTAATTTACACAACCTCCCACATTATTCCTCCATGAGTACATGTCCCATACCATACTCAGCCTGAGTTTGTGAATCAATATTGTATCTTTTCATCATCCTATTTTGTCTATGGATAGTAACCATGGCACCCAAGAGGAATGTGAATGATGTTGGAAGAGCAAAGAGAGGTACAGGAAGGCCCCGCATATTCGGCACCCTCTTTCGGTGTTCTGTGTTTTCATGGCTTTCAAGTGAGCCACTGTTCAGATGTTTGGTGCTTTATTATTTTTCCACTGTGTTCGTACAACAGTTGCATGAGGTAGGGAGATGGAGCCATATTTTAAGGTAAGTATCGTATGTACTGTGTGTTTATCTTACTTCTTATGTTTTTTATGCCTAGCTGTATTGAGCACTTAACCCTTTGACTGTCAACCCAAAATCCTGAAGTGTCTCCTGGTGTCGAAAAATTTTTTGAAAAAAAAAAAAAAAAAATTCTTATGAAATGCTAGAGAATCTTTTCCCGATGGTAATGACACCAAAAGTACAAAATTTGATCGAAAACTTACAGAATTACACTTCTGCGAAGTTAGCAATCTCGGCGATATATATGCATCGGCGATTTTGCTGACTTTGAGCCCTATTTTCGGCCAACTCCACTGTTCCAGTTGACCAAACTCATAGCTATTTCTTTAGAATTCCATTTTTTCTATCAATTGAGTACAAGGAACTGTCCATTTACTGATTTCAACTACTCAATTAAATGGTCAGATATTGGCAATTAGGCCAATTTCACGCAAATTAAAAAAGATGCCAATTTCAAAATAGGGTTCAGAACAAACAATTCAGACATTCTTGGCATTAAAATAACATATCCTCTGTTCATTAGTCACATCTCCAGGCCTCTCTTATATTACACTTGCTTTCTATTTTGATTTTTTATTCACACAAAAAATAGAAGATTTACTGCTATGCAGACTACTGCATTATTGTGAAAATAAATAATATCAGTGCACTAGTGAAAGAATATTAGACTCCCCAGTTGATGTGTATTGGATGTGTGGTGTGATTTGCTTACTCTTGAACATTGGTAAAAATCAAACATTTCTGCTACTTTGAGTTCAATTTCAAGGTCGTTTTCATCATGAGACTAATCAAAATCATCACTATTTCTGTAACATGTTTTCCATTCTATCAACGAGACCAAGAAAACGAGAATAAAACCATAAATACTAGGAAAATACACTCAAAGTCGGCATTTTAATCCAAAAGCATGGTCGGAGTTTTTTTCTCTCATTTGCACTGCCTACTGCAGGATTTTTTTTATACAGTGCACATGACCACACAGACCCATTCTCTACATGTGGGCCTACCAGCTTTCTCCTTCTTGATTTGAAGCCGCTAGAATTATTGAGTATTAATACGTCCAAAACACTGGCTCATAAGACGTATATATACGGCCGAAACAGTCAAAGACATTTTAAAGCATCGATAATGAAAAAACATCTTTTTCTCACTCACTGGCAATTTCACTTAGTGCATGGGGTCAAAAACTAAGAGCGTATCAAACGGGGGTCCTCCTGAACAAGAGTGGAACTTTTGGTGTTTTGATAGAAAATCAAGATATAGATACCTTAGATGCGATGCATGTGTAACAGAGACGATCTGAGGCTAGGGTATGAATAAGGCATCATTCATACTGGTGTCCCAGGTCCTCATACAGCATGTAGACTTCCATACTGTGCCTGGGTCCTCATACACTTAAAAGATGAGTAAAGATACAAATCTTTGGAATAACCTCCTCAAAAGAATGACACAGATCACAACTGATGAATATGACAAAAAATTTACTGAGTGGATTAAGCAGTAAACCAAGAAAGGTGTACCATTTAATTTCCTCCATATAAAGGAGGAAAGTCTTATCACAAATTGCAACAGTGTGTGAATGAAGGGAAGCCCTGAACAAGATTAGGTTAGGTAGAAGATTTGTCAGGAACATGAAAAGTGTTTCCTGACATGGGTCTAGTCATATGATGACCCACCCAGCTTTTAACCATCTGATTGAGGCCTTCCACTGGCTTACTGGTCTACCCCTGAAAAAAATTGTGGTTAAAATTTTAACCATTTTATTATTCTGAAAAAAGGCTTGTTTAGTTCTGCCTGCTTACACCAGCTCAAACTGTGCAATCAGTTGAATAATAAATTTTCTGGTGAAAGTGCTTCAGCTGATCACACAACTACAGGAAATTTCTTGCTGGATTGGAGGAAATTGTTTCTGACGGTTACTATGGGCTACAGCAAGTGTTGATTGCACGTCTTTATTGAAAAATGCATTGAGAGCTTACATCAGCCAAAAGGGAAAAAAAATGCACGGGGTACAAAGCACAAGGGATCACTACAGCTTGCTACAGTTTGCAACATGTGTTTTTAACTTCAAAACCCATGTTTATTGCTCCAAGACTCCTCGTGCTTTGAAAGATATAGACAAAACCACTAATAGACCCCTGGCTGTCTTCAAATGGGAGCTGGACAGACATCTAGTGGACAGACCAGTTGGGTTGATGGTTTGTATGTCGATTTGTGTGTGGTCAGCAAATAACAGCTTGGTTGATCAGGCCCTGATCCACCACGAGGCCTGGTCACAGACTAGGCTGGGGGAGCACTGACCCCCTGGAACACCCTCCAGGCATACTCTAGGTACCCTCTCAAACCATTTGTCAAAGAGGTCAGAGACCTCATTTGTTCCCTGGCTTAAAAATCACTTTATTCCCAAAGTCACATTTTACCAGTGCAGCAAGAACCTTACAATCAAGGTCCCTTTATTCTTGAAAATTCCTGTACTCATCCCAGAACTCTTGGCTGTATTCACCCACCTGTAAAAGTTGTGTTGTAAACCATCAAACACAACAACTTAATACAAACACTGAATTGAGGAATTATTAAGACATTTAGGTGCAACTAACACAAGAAAAGTAATACAGGAACTTATCGGAGTAATGGATGCTGACTCAGAGCTTGAAGTGCCAGGGTTCTGGAATAAATTTAACACTGCATTTGCCATCAAAATTATGTTAAAAGTAACTGGAATGAAGATACTCTTGCAGGTTTTTCCTCAGATGAGAGCTAAGTGCAGGAACATCTTTAGCTGGTAAGGAGACTGAAGGTGAAGTCTTTGAAGATATGTAGGTAAACGTAAATGAACTGTTAGAAGATGATGAGAAGAAAGAATGTGAGGAAATGTTGGCATAGCTCAATGCACAGATACAAGGAGAAAGATAACAGACATGGATGAGGAAAAAGAACCTCCAGAAAAACCACTTAACACCACAACAGTTATGTCAGCAGATCCATATTACTGATAAAGTTGCAGACATTTACTGAAGAGGACCATGGCAAATCTACAACACTGTCCAAAAGAGGGAACTGGAGCAACTGTATAAAGAATCACTAGGCAAAACAGATCAGAGACCCATTACAGAATTCTTTAGTATTCCAGTACAACCATCAACATCAGTGCAAGAACCTCAGCCATCAATCTTAACAAACACTCCACAATCTACCACCTCAGCTCTACTGGGCTGAGGTAGTAGACTGAGGTGGAAATATTCTTTGTGTAATCTTTATTAAAAATTACACATCACTGCATCCAACTACAATTACATTATTGTCACTTTTTTTACAATTATGAGACTTGAAAACGTTTACCATTTTGGAGGAGGTCTCAGAAACGTAAACCCTATTATTCGCATATGTTCTCCAGTTCATTGTAACACAATTTTTTTATTTACAAGCTGTTTTCAGGCACCAAACTACAGTGGTCCCTCGTTTTTCGTAATTAATCTGTTCCTGGAGGAGCTACTATAAACGAAATTTACGATTTGCGAATCAATTTTCCCCACAAGAAATAATGTAAATACAATTAATCCGTTCCTGACACCCAGAAGTATTAAAACAAAAAAAATTTTTTACATGAAATATACATGTAGTACATAAACAATACAATGGGAAATGATGAATGAAACATTAACAGCATAACACTTACCTTTATTGGAGATTCTTCTTAGTGTATGGGAGACTGGAGGAGGAGAGAGATTGGATTGTTTACAGTTTGGAAGGGGAATCCCCTTCCAGCAACACCTCAGGTACCAATTGCTTCTCAGGGGTTGCTTCTCTTCTCTGTTTCTTAATGCCACTAGGACCACCTTGAGAGTCACTCTAGTCCTGTCTCGCAAAGTAACTGTGGAGAGAGCTCTGTTTCTGGTGTCTCTTAATACTTCCCTAAAATGGCCCAAGACTGTCACTGTACATATTTCTCACCTTCTTTACCACAGGCTTGCACTAGGAGCTTTCTTTGGAGCCATGGTAGCTTATTTAGTAATTGCAACACAAAAATGAGTGGAATATTATGAAATATTTCGTAGGAGCACTTGAGGGGACCTTCACTCACTGGTAAACAATGCCAGATTGGCTGGGTAGGGAGGCCGCCCCAGCTCACACCGTGTGTACGCGTCCCGGACGAACTACTATTCACGAGTCAACCTATGAAAAGCGAGTCCATGTTTATATGAAAATACCCCTATGATTGGCGAAATTTACGATTGCCGAGAACTACGAAAAGAGAGGGACCACTGTACTGTGTTAATTGGCTGTCAACTGTAATTCTTCTTTCATTCAACACACCGGCCATATCCCACCGAGGCGGGGTGCCCCAAAAAGAAAAACGAAAGTTTCTCCTTTTGCATCTAGTAATATATAAAGGAGAAGGGGTTACTAGCCCCTTGCTCCCTGCATTTTAGTCGCCTCTTACAACACGCATGGCTTACAGAGGAAGAATACTGTTCCACATCCCCATGGAGGTAAAGGAAATAAACAAGAACTAGAAGAAAATAGAAGAAAACCCAGAGGGTGTGTATATATTATTGCTTGTACATGTATGTGTAGTGTGACCTAAGTGTAAGTAGAAGTAGCTAGACGTATCTGAAATCTTGCATGTGTATGAGACAAAAAAAAGACACCAGCAATCCTACCATTGTGTAAACAATTGCAGGCTTCCGTTTTACACTCACTTGGCAGACGGTAGTACCTCCCTGGGTGGTTGTCTACCACCTACTACCTGGATTTAACTGTAATTATTTTTATTATTACAGTGGAATCTCAAAAATCGAACTTAATCCGTTCCAGGAGCTAGTTCTAAATTCGAAAAGTCTGAAATTCGAAGCAATATTCCCATAAGAAATAATGGAAATACAATTAATCCGTTTCAGAAACCCAAAAATATTCACAAAAAATACATTTTATAGAGATTAATTACAGTTTTACATACAACAAATACTATAGTTTTTAATTATGTATAGTAATACATATAAAATAACATTTTTACTTACCTTTATTGAGATGGTGATGGCATCTGGAAGATAGGGAGGAGGAGAGAGGAGTTGGTGTTAGTGTTTAGAAGAGAATCCCCCTCCATGAGGACTTCAGGTAAAGCCCTCTCTGGGGTTACTTCCCTTCTCTGTCTTTTAATGCCACTTGGACCAGCTTGAGAATCACTGGACCCCTGTCTCACAAAAATAAACTGTCCACAGTCCTCTGTTTCTGCGCCCTCTTTAACATTTCCTAAAATGAGACATGGTTCTGTCACTGATTGTTGCAAAGATGCTTGTTTCAGCTTGCTCAGGGTGGTACTTCTGCACAAACATTTGGACATCATTCCACTTGGCACAAATCTCCTTAATCTTCAAAGAAGGCACCTCATCCACTCCCTCTTCCTCCTCCTCTGAAGCAAGTTCCTCAGCTGTGGTCTGATACTGCTCCAGATGAACTCTTCCAGCTCTTCAGTGGTTTAGCTCTTCCCTGTGGTCCTCCACCAACTCTTCCACATCCTCACCACTCACCTCAACCCAAGGGTGTTCCCCAATGCCACAATAGAGTCTACAACGGCAAGGGTGAGCTGGTCAGGTCAGCCTCAAACCCTTCAAAATCCCTCTTTTGGACACAATCTGGCCACATTGTCTCCAAGCAGAGTTCAAAGTCCTGAGTTCACTCCCATCCCAAGCCTTAACTTTTTTTGGTTAGCATTTAACACCAATTTCGCAACATCAGCATTCCTTGATTTGTTCTTTCTTTGACAGGATAGAACCGATGGTTGACTTGTTTTTCCCATACTCCTGGCAAGCTCAACAAGTCTCACACCGCTCTCATACTTCTGTATTATTTCCTTCTTCACATCATTGTGTTTCTCACTTTCTTTACCACAGGGGTACCACTAGCAAGTTTCTTTGGGCCCATGGCAGCTTTATTTCACAGTCCCACAAGCACTAAACACAACGAAATAATCATAAAATGTTGAATGAGAGCACAGGTTAGTGTTCACTCAAGCAGAAGAATCAAGCTAGACTGCTCACAGGCACCTGCGCGGGGATGCGGACAGAGCGGGCGGCAGACAGGTCCGTACCCGGCGGTCCGAAATAGGGGTGTGTTCGATAATAGGGACACAGTTTGTCCAAAAAAATGTTCTATTTTCGAAAGGTTCGAATATGTAATACATTCGATTTTGAGGTTCCACTTTATCTGTAAGTATGGATTTTTCTTTCTTTTTTGGGTCACCCTGCCTCAGTGAGAAATGGCTGAAGTGGTAACAAACCAAAAAAAAGTATGGATGTATGAAAATATGAAAATTGGGGCTTTATAAAGTTGGGATCCTCATGTTATTAGCACTAGTTTTTTTTACTTAAACTGATGTAGTTGATTGAGTTTAACTTGCTATAAATGAGAGATCCTTCATCACTTCAGTAAAATCAAGCAGTGCAAAGCTTGCATGTGGTTGTAGACTTGGATGTGAGCGTAGTCTCCAAACTTGTAGCAGCAAAATAAACACATCACGGCACCGAAGATGCCTGCACTTTCTGACCAATTGATTTCCTCTCTTAGTCTGGAGTCTTTCAGCACTGAGTTGCTGGATGCAACAAAATGTCTTCTGGGACAACAGGCTGTAAGAGGATTAATCACTACAGTAACGTAAATCAATCATACTAAACAAAACACTTTATAGGTACATATAGAAGTGCCTTTTCACATTGTTATACATTCTGAAATGAACTCTTTCAATTGCATTTACAAAGTGGAAATAAATGTATAAAATACCAACTACAATGGAAATATTGATAAATTAGACACTTGTGCACTCTTGGGTATCTTTATTGAGGAAACGTTTCGCCCATCAGTGGCTTCATCAGTCCATACGTAGAAGAAACTTGAAGAACAGGAGGAGAATGAGGTAATCAGTCCCTCAACCTTGAGTCGATGTGTTCAGTCCATCAATTCTTGAATAGAATCTCTATTCAAGATTGATGGACTGAACACAAAACAAATCTTCTATTCAAGATTGATGGACTGAACACATCGACTCATAGGTTGAGGGAACTGATTACCTCATTCTTCTCCTGTTCTTCAAGTTTCTTCTACGTATGGACTGATGAAGCCACTGTGTGGCGAAACGTTTCCTCAATAAAGATACCCAAGAGTTGCACATGTGTCTAATTTACCAACATGTCGGTTCTCTGAACCATTCATCTACAAACAATGGAAATATAAACACATATGCAGTAAAGGATCACATTATACTGCATGTGTGTTTATATTTCCATTGCATTTACAAAAATTCACACTACGGTAAATAGAGAAGTTTTACAAGCCAGATGACTATATATTAATTTAACTTAATTAATTTTCTAATTCTACATACAAAGACAATTTTGTCACCATTACAACCAAGATAAATATCCGTGGCTGTCCAATAACCACTGTTCCCTACCTCAACTATCTCACAAGAGAAAGAATTGTAGGAAACAGAATTGGTTTCCTCAGTTTAGCAATGTTTACACATCTAGGCTTAAAATAGCAAGTTTTCAAATCTTTAAAAGTTGAAGACATTAACAAATGCATTATTTGAACATTTGCATGTTTAGAATAAATGTATGATTTTATGTCAACAGCCAGTGATGGTGGTTTAAGGAAACACACGTACCATCGCTCATTCAACAGTAGCCTTGCCAGAAGTGTGTTGACATCACAATTCATATTAACCTCCAAACTGCAACATCCGCACCCCTCCTTCGGAGTGCAGGCACTGTACTTCATCCCCATTCCTCATCCTACAGAGAGCAGGCACTGTACTTCATCCCCAAGCCTCCTACAGAGCAGCACTGTACTTCATCCCCAGCCTCCTACAGAGTGCAGGCACTGTACTTCATCCCCAAGCCTCCTACAGAGAGCAGGCACTGTACTTCATCCCCAAGCCTCCTACAGAGTGCAGGCACTGTACTTCATCCCCAAGCCTCCTACAGAGAGCAGGCACTGTACTTCATCCCCAAGCCTCCTACAGAGTGCAGGCACTGTACTTCATCCCCAAGCCTCCTACAGAGAGCAGGCACTGTACTTCATCCCCAAGCCTCCTACAGAGTGCAGGCACTGTACTTCATCCCCCAAACCTCCTACAGAGAGCTGGCACTGTACTTCATCCCCAAGCCTCCTACAGAGTGCAGGCACTGTACTTCATCCCCAAGCCTCCTACAGAGAGCAGGCACTGTACTTCATCCCCAAGCCTCCTACAGAGTGCAGGCACTGTACTTCATTTCCCCAAGCCTCCTACAGAGAGCTGGCACTGTACTTCATCCCCACTCCTCCTACAGAGAGCTGGCACTGTACTTCATCCCCACTCCTCCTACAGAGAGCTGGCACTGCACTTCATCCCCACTCCTCCTCCTCCTACAGAGTGCAGGCAATGTACTTCATCCCCACTCCTCCTACAGAGAGCTGGCACTGCACTTCATCCCCACTCCTCCTACAGAGAGCCGGCACTGTACTTCATCCCCACTCCTCCTACAGAGAGCCGGCACTGCACTTCATCCCCACTCCTCCTACAGAGAGCCGGCACTGTACTTCATCCCCACTCCTCCTCCTACAGAGAGCCGGCACTGCACTTCATCCTCACTCCTCCTCCTACAGAGAGCCGGCACTGTACTTCATCCCCACTCCTCCTACAGAGAGCCAGCACTGCACTTCATCCCCACTCCTCCTACAGAGAGCCGGCACTGTACTTCATCCCCACTCCTCCTCCTACAGAGAGCAGGCAATGTACTTCATGCTCACTCCTCCTACAGAAAGCAGGCACTGTACTTCATCCCCACTCCTCCTACAGAGAGCTGGCACTGCACTTCATCCCCACTCCTCCTACAGAGAGCCAGCACTGCACTTCATCCCCACTCCTCCTACAGAGAGCCAGCACTGCACTTCATCCCCACTCCTCCTACAGAGAGCTGGCACTGCACTTCATCCCCACTCCTCCTACAGAGAGCTGGCACTGTACTTCATCCTCACTCCTCCTACAGAAAGCAGGCAATGTACCTCATCCCCACTCCTCCTACAGAAAGCAGGCACTGCACTTCATCCCCACTCCTCCTACAGAGAGCTGGCACTGCACTTCATCCCCACTCCTCCTCCTACAGAGAGCAGGCACTGTACTTCATCCCCACTCCTCCTCCTACAGAGAGCTGGCACTGTACTTCATCCCCACTCCTCCTACAGAGAGCTGGCACTGCACTTCATCCCCACTCCTCCTACAGAGAGCTGGCACTGTACTTCATCCCCACTCCTCCTACAGAGAGCTGGCACTGCACTTCATCCCCACTCCTCCTACAGAGTGCAGGCAATGTACTTCATCCCCACTCCTACAGAAAGCAGGCACTGTACTTCATCCCCACTCCTCCTACAGAGAGCAGGCACTGTACTTCATCCCCACTCCTCCTACAGAGAGCCGGCACTGCACTTCATCCCCACTCCTCCTCCTACAGAGTGCAGGCAATGTACTTCATCCCCACTCCTACAGAAAGCAGGCAATGTACTTCATCCCCACTCCTCCTACAGAAAGCAGGCAATGTACTTCCCACTTCCAGAACTCAAGTCCAAATAACTGGTTTCCCTGTTTCCCTTCATAAATATTATCTTGCTTACACTTCAACAGCACATAACCTCAATCTCCTAGCCCTCTCAACCTCTTTAACCTCTTCTCCAACCTTCCCTGTGATTTATAAACCTTCTTGATTATTTTATTTTATTTCATCTTCTCAAAATGCCAAAACCACCTGAACAGCTATCTAAGTTGTACTTTGGTAATGCCACACAATCTTCTAATCTCTGCACTCTGTGCTGAGGGCAAAAATACTCATGGGTGGTATTTCTGAAGCCACGAAAAATTGTACATACGTACTAGAACATTGGACATACAGACCTCACCTGTGTACTAGTGCGCTGGGCACAGTTAAGGGGTTAAAACATGAGTTGAACCATAATCCTCTAACACTCACAAAATGAGAATGAATTGTACAATACAGTTATCAAGCTAGCTAAATAGTACACTCATCTTCCTGGTAATATAATCATTGCTTTTCACACATTCTAAGTACATCTAAACATTGTTCTTAACAGGGGCTAAAGTTGTTAGCTAAGCAAAAAACAACAGAGCAATTTTTTCAATTGCAATAAAAAAAAATACATCAAAAACTGAACATCTACTATGAAGGACATTTCATGTTCTATTCATCTTACAATGAACTTATTCATATACATTTCCAAAAACTCACACTACACAGAGCTTTATAAGAGAGATTACTGCACAAGGAATGTGAATGACAGGGATCAATTGTACATAGAGTTACTGCTACATCTTACCACGTCGTTCTCAGATAAAGAATAACTTGTAGCCTCAGCATCATTCAATTCACCATCTTCCAACTGGCAGAGCAAACCATCATTCTCTACAACTGGGATGTGATATCTGTGGAAATATTTATGAAATTTAAATACAATACAGACAAGAGTATATATTCTTTCTTCTTTCAACATACCAGCCGTATCCCACTGAGGCGGGGTGGCCCAAAAGGAAAAACAAAAGTTTCTCCTTTTACATTTAGTAATATATACAGGAGAAGAGGTTACTAGGCCCTTGCTCCCGGCAATTTAGTTGCCTCTTACAACACGCATGGCCTACGGCGGAAGAATTCTGTTCCACTTCCCCATGGAGATAAGAGGAAATAAACAAGAGCAGGAACTAGAAAGAAAATAGCAGAAAACCCAGAGGGGTGTGTGTATATATATGCTTGTACATGTATGCGTAGTGTGACCTAAGTGTAAGTAGAAGTAGCAAGACGTACCTGAAATCTTGCATTTTTATGAGACAGAAAAAAGGACACCAGCAATTCTACTATCATGTAAAACAATTACAGGCTTTCGTTTTACACTCACTTGGCAGGACGGTAGTACCTCCCTGGGTGGTTGCTGTCTACCAACCTACTACAAAGGAAGAGTATATATATTCTTTCAACACACTGGCAGTATCCCACTGAGGCGGGTGGCCCAAAAGGAAAAACGAAAGCTTCTCCTTTTACATTTAGTAATATATACAGGAGAAGAGGTTACTAGCCCCTTGCCCCTGGCATTTTAGTTGCCTCTTACAACAAGCATGGCTTACGGAGGAAGAATTCTGTTCCACTTCCCCATGGAGATAAGAGGAAATAAACAAGAACAAGAACTAGAAAGAAAATAGAAGAAAACCCAGAGGGGTGTGTATATATATGCTTGTACATGTATGTGTAGTGTGACCTAAGTGTAAGAAGATGTAGCAAGACGTACCTGTAATCTTGCATATTTATGAGACAGACAAAAGACACCAGCAATCCTACCATCATGTAAAACAATTACAGGCTTTCGTTTTACATTCACTTGGCAGGACGGTAGCACCTCCCTGGGCGGTTGCTGTCTACCATCCTATTACCTAGGAAGAGTATACATGTATATATATTCTTCTTCTTTCAACACATCAGCCGTATTCCACGGAGGCGGGATGGCCCAAAAGGAAAAACGAAAGTTTTTCCTTTTACATTTAGTAATATATACAGGAGAAGGGGTTACTATCCCCTTGCTCCCGGCACTTTAGTCGCCTCTTACAACAAGCATGGCTTACGGAGGAAGAATTCTGTTCCGCTTCCCCATGGAGGTAAGAGGAAATAAACAAGGACAAGTACTAGAAAGAAAATAGAAGAAAACCCAAAGGGGTGTGTGTATATATATGCTTGTACATGTATGTGTAGTGTGACCTAAGTTTAAGTGGAAGTAGCAAGACATACCTGAAATCTTGCATGTGAATAAGACAGAAAAAAAAAAAACACCAGCAATCCTACCATCGTGTAAAACAATTACAGGCTTCAGTTTTACACTCACTTGGCAGGACGGTAGTACCTCCATGGGCGGTTGCTGTCTACCAACCTACTACCTAGAAGAATAATAAATAAATAAATAAATAAATAAATAATTATATATAATATATAATATATATTTATATATATATATATATATTATATATATATATATATATATATATATATATATATATATATATGTATAGGGCAAGGAGGAATAACATCTTGTAGAGATGAGGAAGAGCCAGTTGTGAGTGTGGGGGAAGTTCGTGAGGCAGTAGGTTAAAATGAAAGGGGGCAAGCAGCCGGAATTGATGGGATAAAGATAGAAATGTTAAAAGCAGTGGGATATAGTTTTGGAGTGGTTGGTGCAATATTTTAAAAAATGTATGGAAGAGGGTAAGTACCTAGGGATTGGCAGAGAGATGCATAGTTCCTTTGTATAAGGCAAAGGGGAATAAAGAGAGTGCAAAAATTATAGGGGATAAGTCTGTTGAGTGTACCTGGTAAAGTGTATGGTAGAGTTATAATTGAAAGAATTAAAGTAAGACGGAGAATAGGAATAGCAGATGAACAAGGAGGCTTTAGGAAAGGTAGGGGTGTGTGGACATTGTTTACAGTGAAACATATAAGTGAACAGTATTTAGATAAGGCTAAAGAGTCTTTGTGGCATTTATGATTTGGAAAAGGTTATATGACAGGGTGGATAGGGGGCAATGTGGCAGATGTTGCAAGTGTATGGTGTAGGAGGTAGGTTACTGAAAGCAGTGAAGAGTTTTTACGAGGATAGTGAGGCTCAAGTTAGAGTATGTAGGAAAGAGGAAATTTTTTCCCAGTAAAGTAGGCCTTAGACAAGGATGTGTGATGTCACCGTGGTTGTTTAATAATTTTTAGATGGGTTGTAAGAGAAGTAAATGCGAGGGTCTTGGCAAGAGGCGTGGAGTTAAAAGATAAAGAATCACACACAAAGTGGGAGTTGTCACAGCTGCTCTTTGCTGATGACACTGTGCTCTTGGGAGATTCTGAAGAGAATTGCAGAGATTGGTGGAATGAATTTGGTAGGGTGTGCAAAAGAAGAAATTAAAGGTGAATACAGGAAAGAGTAAGGTTATGAGGAAACAAAAAGATTAGGTGATGAAAGATTGAAAAATCAGATTGGAGGGAGAGAGTAAAGGAGGAGGGTGAACGAAATTTAGAATTTGGGAGTGGACGTGTCAGCGGATGGGTCTATGAAAGATGAGGTGAATCATAGAATTGATGAGGGAAAAAAGGTGAGTGGTGCACTTAGGATCTGTGGAGACAAAGAACTTTGTCCTTGGAGGGGAAAGAGGGGGAAAGTATGAGAGTATAGTTTTACCAACGCTCTTATATGGGTGTGAAGCGTGGGTGATGAATGTTGCAGCGAGGAGAAGGCTGGAGGGGAGTGGAGATGTCGTGTCTGAGGGCAATGTGTGGTGTTTAATATAATGCAGAGAATTTCGTAGTTTGGAAGTTAAGGAGGAGGTGTGGGATTCCAAAACTGTTGTCCAGGGGGGCTGAGGAAGGGTTGTTGAGGTGGTTCGGACATGTAGAGAGAATGGAGCGAAACAGAATGACTTCAAGAGTGTATCAGTCTGTAGTGGAAGGAAGGCGGGGTAGGGGTCGGCCTAGGAAGGGTTGGAGGGGGGGGGTAAAGGAGGTTTTGTGTGCGAGGGGCTTGGAATTCCAGCAGGCATGTGGAGCGTGTTTGATAGGAGTGAATGGAGACAAATGGTTTTTAATACTTGACGTGCTGTTGGAGTGTGAGCAAAGTAACATTTATGAAGGGATTCAGGGAAACCGGGAGGCCGGACTTGAGTCCTGGAGATGGGAAGTACAGTGCCTGCACTCTGAAGGAGGGGTGTTAATGTTGCAGTTTAAAAACTGTAGTGTAAAGCACCCTTCTGGCAAGACAGTGATGGAGTGAATGATGGTGAAAGTTTTTCTTTTTCGGGCCACCCTGCCTTTGGGGGGAATCGGCCAGTGTGATAATAAAAAAAAATAATATATATATATATATATATATATAAATATTATATTATATATATAAATATATATATATATATATATATAATTATATATATATATATATAATATGGCTAAAGAGGTCTTTGTGGCATTTAGGGATTTGGAAAAGGCATATGACAGGGTGGATAGGGGGGCAATGTGGCAGATGTGCAAGGTATGGTGTAGGAGGTAGGTTACTGAAAGCAGTGAAGAGTTTTTACGGGATAGTGAGGCTAAAGTTAGAGTATGTAGGAGAGGGGAAATTATTTCCCATAAAAGTAGCCTAGACAAGGATGTGTGATGTCCCCGTGGTTGTTTAATATATTTATAGATGGGGTTGTAAGAGAAGTAAATGCAGGGTCTTGACAAGAGGCGTGGAGTTAAAAGATAAAGAATCACACACAAAGTGGAGTTTTTCAAGCTCTCTTTGCTGATGACACTGTGCTCTTGGGAGTATTCTGAAGAGAAGTTGCAGAGATTGGTGGATGAATTTGGTAGGGTGTGCAAAAGAAGAAAATTAAAGGTGAATACAGGAAAGAGTAAGGTTATGAGATAACAAAAAGATTAGGTGATGAAAGATTGAATATCAGATTGGAGGGGGAGAGTAGGAGGAGGTGAATGTATTCAGATATTTGGGAGTGGACGTGTCAGGGGATGGGTCTATAAAAGATGAGGTGAATCATAGAATTTATGAGGGAAAAAGAGTGAGTGGTGCACTTAGGAGTCTGTGGAGACAAGAACTTTGTCCTTGGAGGCAAAGAGGGGGAATGTATGAGAGTATAGTTTTACCAACGCTCTTATATGGGTTTTGAAGCATGGGTTTATGAATGTTGCAAACGAGGAGAAGGCTGGAGGCAGTGGAGATGTCATGTCTGAGGCAATGTGGTGGTGTGAATATAATGCAGAGAATTCGTAGTTTGGAAGTTAGGAGGAGGTGCGGGATTACCAAAAACTGTTGTCCAGAGGGCTGAGGAAGGGTTGTTGAGGTGGTTCGGACATGTAGAGGAAATGGAGCGAAACAGAATGACTTCAAGAGTGTTTTCAGTCTGTAGTGGGGAAAGGGAAAGGGGGGGTAGGGGGCGGCCTAGGAAAGGTTGGAGGGAGGGGTAAAGGAGGTTTTGTGTGCGAGGGGCTTGGACTTCAGCAGGTATGCATGAGCGTGTTTGATAGGTGAATGGAGACAAATGGAGTTTTTAATACTTGACGTGCGTTGGAGTGTGAGCAAAGTAACATTTATGAAGGGGTTCAGGGAAACCGGCAGGCCGGGCTTGAGTCCTGGAGATGGGAAGTACAGTGCCTGCACTCTGAAGGAGGGGGGGGTTAATGTTGCAGTTTAAAAACTGTAGTGTAAAGCACCCTTCTGGCAAGACAGTGATGGAGTTGAATGATGGTGAAAGTTTTTCTTTTCGGGCCACCCTGCCTTTGGGGGGAATCGGCCAGTGGGTAATAAAATAAAAAAATAAAATAAAAATATATATATAAAAATTTATATATATATATAAAATTTAAAATAAAATTTTATAATTATATATTTTTACACATACACACACACACACACCCACACACACCCCCACACACACACACACACCAAGCAGGGATTTAAAAGGGAAGGGGACTACAAAAGGATCAGGGAAAACTTGCAGGAAGACCCGCGCGAGTCATGGTCGTGGCGAGGTGTCCAAAAGTGGGCACCTGTGACCAGCGGGGGCCCGCAGGGGTTTAGTCCTAGGG